CGATGAGCGCAATATATCACCACATTTACTTATTCGTACAGAACCAATCGCTTCGTTTTTGAATTCTCTAGAGAATTTCCTACAGAAAAAAAATCGGAAACTTTGCTAGAACTTATATCAAGGAAAAATTACGGTTAGAAAGATTAGATCGTAGTTTTGAAGCTAAACAACTGTGCTCGAATGCATGCCAGAGCAGAGCAAATTTAGCGTTACAGCTACGATAAATGCGAATTTTGTCATTATTCCATCATTTTATTTCTCAGACGGTATAGGACATGTCTGGAGGTCTGATTCAAGGTATCTGTATGCTTTACCAATTGTCTCCTCGTAACCAATTGGGATTATCTGATGGCGCACATACATCTCCTGGAAGTTCTTCTTAGCTATTTTACTTTTTTTGTGAAAGCTCTAGAAGAAAATATACCAAATTTTCTGGTTTAGGCTGCAGCATGGCTAGATTTTTCTTATACAGATACTCTCCGACCTTTAAAAATATGTTTGATCTTTTTTAAGAAAGATAAAAATCCTACAAAAATACATTGACTGCGATTTGAATCGATAACTCGCGAATATTTGCTATTGGCGGATAAAGAAGACCATGATCATGGAGTGCCTGGTCTGGCGTCATCTTTGCACATATCTAAAAAATGAAAATTCTGTTTAAAGTGCGCTTCAAATGAAAATTAACCTTAGCCGCGATAAGAAACACTTCGTCAGGAATTTTTTTCGCTTTCCAAGTCACTGCAGACAATCCAATTCCGGGGAAAATGTACGAATTGTTGCCTTGCCCAGGTATGTGCTTTTTTCCTTTATATTCGACCTCATTCATTGGAGAACCGGACGCGTAAAGAGCTCTACCCTGAATGTTAAATTATTTTCTAAAAGGCTATATCTTCTCCGATTTTATTAGCTAAGAAATTTGAGGAAAAGATATTTGGCTTGTTGCAATCGCATCTCCCCATCTTATTGCAGTTTTCTAAACTTTGCTTATTAAAAGTGGAAATTTCAAGGTCATTCAGATATTGCTCTCGTAAAACCAAGCACTGTAGCTTTTTTGGTTCAATTTCTCAATTTTGATATACAGTCTTAGTCAGAAGTTGCCATCTACAAACTATAACTCTTCGTAAAAATGTTAGGAGAGAAGTTCTATTTCTACAACGCGTTGAATTTTTAGCCTTAACTGAAATTTTGAACAGTTTTCTAGAATTATCAAAGAACTAATTCCTATCGGTATAGGAGAATGGAAAGACAGTACCTAAGCAAAAATGAAAAAAGTCATTGGCGATGTTGCAACTTAACGCTTTTTAATGGTCATTGTCCTTGATATCATTCCATTGCTAAACACTAGTGCTATAGGGACGAAATGTAAGGATAATCACACATTTTCAATAACTAACTTAAGTTTAGGTGTTGAAGTTATGTCAAAGTTTTAGGACATTCTAGTGTTCTGTTTCCTATAGATAGCGTTGTCCACCTTTGAAATTATTTACTTGGGTTTTCACCCACTTACGATCTTTCACTAAGTATTAGCTGTATGATGCTATGGTTTCGTTTTTCCCTCTAAACACAAGGTGATAACGAACATCGGAATGCTCAATTGCATCTTTTGCAGTGCATTCGGCCCTATTAGTGGGATTTGAAAGCGCAAAAATGATTGGTCGTTCATTATTTTTGGCCATTTCTTTGATAATTTCCGGCGTAAAAGCTCCACCCTGCGTCGAAACTCCTGTAAAGGTATTGCTTTATCTCTCAACGTATTACCACTAATCAGCAAAAAAGCTAACCAATAATGCCACTTGGCTTGACACTTTCAACAATCCCAGCAAGACCTTTCATTTCTGGCATGTCCTGCAAAAGAACCTTATCCTTACAGTATGGGCGGCAAGACTT